CTATCCTTGACGGGTTCTGAAAGTATGAGGTACATAGTCAGACTCCAAATAGTGTGGAAAGGTCTGTCGCAGGTGTATGAAACTGCGTGGTCTCTGAAGTGTCTATGGTCCACTATTAGAAAAGTCCACAGCTAAATGAACAGTAAAGGTTTAAATGGTATTGCGCTGAATAATGCACAACAGCAAGACTCCAAAAGCTCAACATTCGCCATTCCCATATTACCATAACGAAATGTTCTCCTCTTGCCATTATTATTACAAGCATCACTCCAGGTAAAAACACAGCTTATCAAAAGTGCTATAAAATCCAAAGTCGCAACCAGAAACTCCGTTCACTAGTTTCCTTCCAATTAGAAGGTAACATAGTCACCCAAAGTCAGCTAAGTTGCGCATACACTACACGTTGCTTACACTTAAAGACAGTTCCCGCGACAAAAGTGTCAAGGATAACTGATCAATTATGAAACAGTAGCTGATAAGTAATTCCTCAATGAAGGAAAAAAGCAACAAGAGCCCTCAAGAACACCACAAACAAAATTGCTCCCTTACAGTTACACCGCCCTGCGGTCCGTGGGCAACCCCTGGCTCACAAATCGCTTTATGGCATTTCCCAGTAGTGGACAACATCCAATTCAAAGAAAAGAATACGAAAAACAACAAAGACACGAACGAAAAACACTTAAAAAAAGAAAAATTCAAAAACTGGCGTCCGAATTTGGGGTTACGTGCAGTGTGCAGCTTTTGGTGCATGTCGAGCTTTTGCACCACAGAAATTGCATCATTCGTGATTTTTACGCGTTTTACCTTACGAGATGGGTTGCAGTTGACTGTATGTGCTCCCAATGAATAAAATGTAATAAAGGAGAGCAGAATTATTTATGGGCACGAGCGCGGTCAGCAAAAAGTACATGCAGTTCCGATTAATGCCCGCCGTCCCAACAAAGAACAACTGAGCGGCTCTCCGTCAGAGGGCATCTAGCAAGTGGGCGGTCCAACTGGGCGGGCGTTAGAACTAGAACTTTGAGCGGCTGTAGCTCGCTCCTCGCTCACTGTGGAGTCGCGAGAGTGGGACATTATCTTGCTTGGGGGCTGAACTACCTGCACAAGGAAGGACGACATGTACTACTTGAGCGCGGGGCTGCTTTAAAGGCAATTCCCGCGACCACAGTTCATAGGTAATACAGTTCAAAAATAGAATGCCTGTGTTTGTTGACTTATTGAAGGAGAAGGAAGCACGAAAAAGCGCCCGGAATAAGACCCTCTTTATTGCAATTGATCATGATCACCGGACGAGCGTAAGGTGGTCAAGATCAATTGTGAATTGCGAAAGGCGGCGATACACTGATAAGAGACGAGAGAGGCCAGAAAATGACGGGCGAGAGAGCGCAATGGCAATGTCACAACGACACGGTCACCGGAGGCCGGCATGGGCCTATCGGGCGCCAATGGGCCTAAAACATGAGCGCCGTGCGTTCTGCTTGCTGTTTTTCAACTTTTAAAAGCAGCATATCCTCTACTGTTGCCTACTTGGTCATCGTGCACGTTTATGAGGTTCTAGCCTTAGTTTATCGCGGAACGTGCCTTTAATGTGTTTGAGCGTACCATGTCTCTTTAAACCAGTAA